TATTTTTGCATTTTAAAATTTAAATGTTTTAACTGTGATTATGTAAATCATATAATAATATTAATAATAATAGTAATGATCAATAATAATTTATTATTATTATTATTAAATATTAATTATTATTATTTTTGCATTTTAAAATATAAAATGTCTTAAATGTTTTAATTGTATTATGTAAATCCTATAATAATACGAATTATTATTATTATATTATTATTAATAATAGTAATTATAAAATATGAATTATTATTATTGTTATTATTGCATTTGCAATTATGCTTAATTTTTTTATCTGATTATGTATCAAATTAAACCAATTATAAAACCACTGTCAAATTAAGTTTTTCTTACTCTTGATACAGTTTTACTGTAAAACAATAATAACAATTATTATTATTATTATTATTTTACAATACAACTGTAAAATTACAATATTGATATTTATGACTTAATTTCTTCATTTTCAAAATGTCAAAATGTAGTTTTTATTTAGATGGAAAACCAGTCTCTTGCTCTCTGTACTATAGTTTTATATTATTAAAATGTTCTGGATGCTGATTGGTCAGTACAGACACACTGGAATACAACAGACATGCAAAAATACACTTATTTTGCAACTGTTTTTAATGTACTGCTCAATCCAGATCTGCAATTCACTGTAGACGACATCAAAACAAGAAAGCGACATTCTTATATTCCCTGAAATCCCCATCTTTGGATGAGACTGGAAGTGCAGCATGATTACGGTCATCTCTGGCATTATGCAATGACCGCGTCAGGCTTAACGTAAACAAACACGCGTCCCTTGAAAAATGCTTTGTGAGGCAAAAATCTGGCAGTTTTCATACAGCTCACTGACAAAATACTGAACTGAAACACATTAAACTGACCACACAATCTGTGGAAACGTTCAAGTCATACAGGGTTTCTATGGAGACTATAAATATTCCTTACTCTCTGTGGGTGTGGAATAATCCACTCCCTCTATGAGCATGTGATTCTTCCCTCGCAAAGTGAGAAAGACGATCAAAAAAACCCTGTTGTGTAAAGTCAGTCGAGGTTACACCACTAACAAGAGTCTGTGTCTTTAAGAGTCTTTAGCTCGCGCACATCAGCTATACAGGCGTTAATACTGAATGTTTAACATTATATTCATTGCATACATGTACTTCGTAGTAGACATCCTTAACTCCTTTCTGCTGTCTGTTGTTCTGTTGTTGGTGTTTCTTTGTTTGAATATGGCGCTTATCACATGCTGTGTGGTATCGGCGTTTGGTATCGGGGCATTTTAACGAGTACGAGTACGAGTACAGGAGCTCAGTATCGGGCCCGATACCGATACCAGTATCGGTATCGGTGCATCCCTAGTTTAATTACTGGGACCCCAAACAGCAGAAACTGCCCTTTCGTTTCATTATGCCTCAATTGATTATTTTCCCACTGCTTAACAAAGGCCTAACTGTGCTCAAAAGCCTTCATTAGCCCAACAGTATCTTTCTTTCTCTCAGCCGTTGATTATGAAGAAGCGTCTGTGAAAGGTCTCGTCTCCTGAATCAGCTACTGTTTTGTTATTAGTTTAAGTATTTGCTATTGACTGTTCAAATGCGGAGATTTGTGCATCATGTGTGTGTGTGTGTGCGCGTGCGTGCGTGTGTGAGAGAGAGAGAGAGAGACAGCATCACATCAAAGTGGAGTCAGCTGTCTTAACCGCGGCTTGTGTACTGCATCATTACTGTGTCTGTTCCCCTTTCGGGCTTGAACTGATGGTAAAACTAATGACATTATTTACTGTCT